TAGTCTAGCGTTTTCAGAGTTTTGATGGCATGTACATTGATTTTAGCTTGGCTTGGCAGAGTCATTGCTGTTTTTGGCTCTCCTTTCAAGCCCCCATCAGGTTCTACATTTCAAACATGACAAAAACCCACAGTGATGTTACAAAGAATCTTCTTTGATGATCATTTAAAATCAATGATCATTTAAAAATGACATTATACTCTACAAATCTTTACTTAGTGTGTTAGACATACCTTGTATTCGACTTCTGAGATATTTTAGGAGCTCACCAGTTCCTTTCTGCAAAGAAGATACTATAACAGTTTCTGATGCATTTCACTGATGACTTTTCCGGTGTTGTATCTGAGATTAATAAGAACAAAGGAGGACAGACAAGATGGGATATGTTGAACACTCACAGTCAGAAGGTCTCTGCGGATTGCCCTCAGTGGATTGCCCTCCAAAGCCAAAAACTTCAGCTTAGGTAATGTGCCAAGTCCACATGGCAGACTGTTTCACAGAAGAAAGAGACTTTGAATGACTTACTTTCTTCTGCACAACAGACGACATTCTGAAAACTGTTGACCATTGACTTCCGTTGTATGGAGAAGGAAAAAAAAAAAAAAGACATCTCAAAATATATTTTGTGTTTCACAGAAGACAGATAGAAAGTGACAAGGGGGTGAGTAAATGATGACTGAATTTTAATTCATTCCTTTAATATTCACTATCCCTTTTTTATCCGTTTTTGGTCATTGAAGAGTCATGTTGAGGATCAGAATACAGAAAGTCATACTTGTTTGGAGAACGACATGAACTGACTGAGTAAATAATGACAGAATTTTCATCGGTTTCATCTACAAAAAACAATTTTTACGCTGTGCTCCCTTCATCTTGCGGTACAATAATTCTTAAGTATTATACAACTGATTTGCAGATCTGTATTGCTTAATGAGTATTAAAAAAGGGATAATAGTCCATAATTTTGCTTCCCAGTAGAATGTGATACAAAGCAAAGTACTATATTTTACAGTATACATGCAAAAACATAATTAGTGTCCAGCACCTGCTGATGTCATTGTTAGTCAGATCCAGGCGCTCCAGGCCTTGCAGTAGAGTTATTTCTTCAGGAAGACTCTTCACCTTGTTATCTCTGAGCTCCAAGAAACTCAGAGAGCTCAAGTGCTTCAAATGATCTGCCTCCAACACCTCAATTTGGTTGTTCCCACAAAAGAGTTCCTTTAAACATATAAACCGGCTTGTGTTGGTCTTTCTTTTTTTAAGACAAGCATAACTTATTCTACCACATCAGTGGATTTGGTTTACCTTGAGTGTTCTACAGCAGGGCAGTTCGGGAAGATATCGTAACTTGTTGTGTCTTAAGTAAAGCTGCTCGAGGGACTCCATCTGAGCCAGGACGGGAGGAATGCTCTCTATTTGATTCTGTGAACAGTCCAGCAATCTCAGGTCTGTGAGGATTAATAAAAGAAGGACGAGTTCACGGGTTAACCAGTAAACATGATTCACATCTAACCTGCTGCGTGTTGTCAAAACATACTTTTCATTTCACTGACGGCAGGAGGGAGACTCTGAAGCTTGTTGCAGGACAAATTCAATTTCACAAGATTTTTCAGGTTTGCCAGGCTTTCTGGAACATCCATTAGATGATTATTGGAGAGATCCTTTAAGAGGGAAGAAAATGAAAGAAGTAAATATTTGGAATACTGGAGTATATCATTCTTAGCAACATCTTTGATTTCTAACTCTAAAGTATAACAAATGATCATACTGCAGTGGATTATTATTATTATTATTTTTGATGTACGATACTGTTTAAAGGTGTAAAATCCCCATTTTACCAGACCAATGTTTTGATGACTTATTGAAATGTTGTGGAAAGTAAACACTGGAATATTTTATTCGCATCTGCATCCATTGAATTTCGTTCTATTTTGCTTAATTTCCCGGGTCAGAAAGTCTGCATTTGGTAGTTTCAGCAGTGTAAGTGTAAATGCAAAAATCGGATATGGGTCACTTTTAAAAGATGATGTAAGCAGGTCCTCAAACAAAAATCGGATATAGTCAGAAAATCGGATTTGGGCATCAAGACCTGCGGTGCAAATGCAGCCTAAATGCATTGAAGCAACTGCCATGTGATTGGTTGATTAGATAATTGCATTAATGAGAAGGTGTTCCTGTGTGTGTGTGTGTGTGTTATATTATACATATATATTACAGTTTTTTCGAGTAAATTTACAGTAGATGTAGCATAAGATAAGATAGCATAATCCTTCTTCTTCTTCTTCTTCTTCTTCTTCCAAAAACATAATAAAAATCTTCCCAACACCAAACCTAGTAGTATGCATTGATTTAAACGGAGCGATATTAACATTATTTAAGGAACTAGGCATTTATGATGAAGTTAGAAGGTTGAATGGCCAAATACTGTAGTTTGTTGCTGGTCAAGACAAGAGGTCAATCACTTACAAGGTCATCTAAATTAACCAAGTTCCCCAAATCCAGAGGAATGTTTTTGATCAGATTCTGTTGCAGATGGAGACATCGCAAGTTTGTAAGCCTCCAAAGACCCAAAGGTAATTCCGTCAGTTTATTGTGACTGCAGAGAGAACCAAGAATTATGGCACAAGGTCTTCACTGTAAATAGATTTATCTATTGCTTTATCCAGAGTGTTGCCTCAATCTGTACCTCAATATGAGCTTCTGTAGTTGTTCTAAATCTCCAATAGAATCTGGTAGTGAGCTTAGTTGATTGTCATGGACCTGGGAAAAGGCACATAGCTTACAATTCATTACAATTTACACCCTCAAACTCCATGGAAAAATACAAAGATGTGAAATATTTCTATTTGACTCACTCAAAAGCTGTGCTGATAATTTGTCATAAAAAATAGAAATACTGTTTTACTAATGGTCTCAGACTTGAGGACCCAACTTTATATAATAAACTATAAATGTCCGGTTTAAACTTTAAACGACTAGTTATATTGATTTAACCATAGTACAGTCCTCGATGGTCCTTATATTTATTTAAAAACAAAATAAATATAGCTACGTTTTTATTTATAACATTAGTTTGTCAAATGAAACATGCTGAAACAAACCTACATCCAAGACAAGCAGGGCAGGGAGGAGTTTGACGTTTTCAGAGAGGCTCTGGAGTTTGTTGGAGGACAGCAGAAGTTTGGTCAAATCTGCCTGTTCCCACCACCGATCTGCAGCTCCGAATGACAAGTTCTGTTGAGATTCCTCAGGCGTGTCAATATTCAACCTCCACACACTCTGAGGAACTGAACCCAAATAACATTATGTAGAATCTTACAAAAATACACAATTTTAATCATAGTTTCACCCAATGTACAATTGTTGCTACAGCTGTTGTTTGTAACGTTAAACGTTATGACTAATTATAGAAGTTCATTCAAACTTTTTTTTAACAAATAAATATTTGACATTTTCATTCATTTTTCCATGAGATAAATGACAAATGTCATATCTGCATTACGGTATGTCAGCACCACAAATTATGGATGCGTTGGTATAGTTTGTTTTGTTTGTGAGGTTAGTTTCACTGAAGTAGTCCTTTTCCAGTCACTGTGTTAACGTTACCTCAGAGACTAACGTTATTTGGTTACCTTCAGTTAGACCACGCCCGGATAGATTGAGTTGCCCGCTCTTTCTAGCAGCTTTTAGTAATCCAGATGGGACAGGACAGTCTTCTTTCTCTTGTCTGAATCCTGCTCTCGAGTCCACAACATGTGCTCCTCTTTTGAAACGAGACATGAATGCGATATTGTGCGTTTAACACCTGTAACGTTAATTTAGTAAACGTGAATGAGGTCGTGGACGGTGTTGTGAAGTAAACCGTCACATACCTAACCTAAACATGGCCTCCAATTTTTAAAATAAAAGTCCCTAGGAACGAAAGTAGTTTTCCATGGCAACCAAAATGAAAAAAAAGTAGGCTATTATTAAAGTCCCCGTGAACCGGAAGTTGCAAACGATTTTTCTCCCGTGCTGTGACGTATTTCCAAGTGAAACGGAATATTGAACAGAGGGCAGGGTTTTACTCTAGCGCTCCTCCTCTCCATCTCTCGCTCATAGCAAACTAACGGTTTGAGGGGAGTGGTTAAGCGTTTCCCCACCCAAACTGTGAAACCTACGTCATCAGAAAAAGAAACCGTTCCAGACCGGAAGTAACTTTTCAGATTTTGATTAAAGATTACTAAGGTAAAACATTTTTTAATATATATTTACTTGCACGGATTAATTGTTCACCACAAGACTAGTAATATGCGCTAGCAAAGTAAATAGGTTCAATTTTGATTTCACGGGGACTTTAAGAAATGAACATATAATAAATGTATTTAAGAGATATTAAAATATTTTCTAACATTCTAAATATTTTTATTTTAATAGAAACCTTTTATGTTTCAGTAGTGACCCATAGAAATACAGGAAACACTAATTACACCTGCAGCTCCAAATAGCCAGTATTAGTATTAAAACAAATTTTCTTAAATGTTACAAATGTTCCTCTGTTTGTGTTATAAAGCTGTATTGATGCACAGTGGCATCCAATATAGTAATATGATCAGCAGATGGTGCTACCTAGCCTTTATAAGTGAACTACAAAGACAACAGCTATTGCAGCCATTTAGATGAAACCACCCAGCCATAATAAAGAGATGGCTGGGTATAGCGGAGAGTTTGTGAGATTGTGGTTAGGTCTCAGCAGCAATAAGGTTGTAAAGGTCAGTAAGCTGGGTGGGGGATGGACAGGGGTGACTCTGCTGCCAGAGTCACTGTCGAGCCCTCTTGAGGTGTTGTGGGCTAGTCGACGAAACACTGAGGATGGAAGGTGCCCACTTGAAGACCCTAGAGATGCTTAATCCAGACGGTTGTCGTGCTGGTCCACTTATTTTTCAAATAACACAGGTCAATGAAAATACAATTTTGAAAAAAAAAAAAGAAAAGAAAAACAACCCAAATTTTTATGATGCTTGTTTATTTAAAATAAGAGACAGTATGTTGTAATACTTGAGCAGACGCACTGGCCTGGCAACTAAATATTAGTTATATCTCAATCATTTCATTAAGAAATTGCAACCAAGAAAAAGCAGGCTAAACATTAATGCAATACATTCATGTGTCAGCACATATACACTGATATGGTATCTGAACAACATATACAAATAAACCTCTCAAAGAAACATCAAATTACAAAGCAAAAAAGTGAATACTATAATGGAACAGACATCTAAAGCACACACTGATGTGAAAAGGCAAGCTGAAGGGATGATCTATTATATCAATGATTCAAAATCTGCTGGAGGTCCATCCATTGTGGGTTTTGGACAAGACTTGTTATGCCCCATTTGATTGGACTTGAATTTCAAAAAATGTTTAATGAATAGTATCCATGGTTATTTATCTCAGTGTATGGGGTTCACTAAAATGTGCTGTATGAATCATTTTTGGGAATTTACAATCAGTTACTACCACAAAGAAAGGCGAGCAACAGTTTTAGAACATTGTTTAGTAAATAAAAGCTTTGCAACAATACTAACATAATGCAGAGACAAAAGGATTTTAATGTTGCAACAATGACTGCACAGTCACTGGAAAGATATATTTATCCCCCAGATACGAAAGCATTACCGGGTGTATCATAATTCAACAACTTATTTCAACTCAGTGATTAATTATCAGAAAAAAATATATATTTTTTTTATTTAATTAATTTTTTTTTTAAATTAAAAATGTAAAAAATATATATATATATATATATTTCAGATTTTATATGCATGAGTTGCACGTTGTGCTGTTGATTTGAGAATGCAAAAGCAAGAAAAAAAAAACACTGAAAACTCATTTTCTTCTGCTTTCAGTCTGGGGAGAATATGAGAGTAAAATAACCCTTTCAATCTATTCAGTAGTAAAACTCCAGTGCATGTTGCATTCAATGGCATGATGATGAAAATCATCAAAGAGGAAAATACTAGACACAGCATATTCCCTGATATGGCATGTGCCTTCAAGTAGTTCATAGCATAATAAAATGTTGGTTTAAAATGCTGCAATAAACATTGTGCAATAAATATGTAACAGGCAAAGCATATGCACTGATATGGCTATTGCCCTCAGCAATTTCAGAGTAGAATAATACAAATGGTCATGATAAGGGATCAGCTTTGGTTTAAACTCTAGTTTAAAGAAAGACTTCAGACAACTCTTTGTTGTTTCTTAATTTAAGACGGTCCTCAAAATCTCCCTCGGAAATCTTATCAGCCGTACTATGTACCATTACAATCACAGATAAAATGCATTGCTATTGCTTAAGCATATTGTAGCTTTAAATTTGATCTCACATCTTGATTTGAACTTGAATCACCTATAGATATATTGATACATACAACTATGAAGGTCAGAGTCAAGAAGAGATGAAGTTGCCAAACCCCTTCTGTGACTGGCAGACCTGCTACAAAGCCAACAGGGACACCAGGGAGCTCACAATGGACATCAGCAGTAGTAGGGACGAGGACAACACTGCAACGGAAGAGAAACCAATGCACACATAGTGGAAAGAGTTACTATAAAATCCAAGTATTATAAATGATTTAATATTTAAACAATAGAACACAAGAGGGTGTTAGGCCTTGATGTTATTCGTAAGCAAATCATTTTAAAGGGATTATGAATTGAGAAATAGATTTTTTTCTTGATCTTTTGACATGCAAGAGGTCATTGTACTATAAAACAAATCCAGAAAAGAAAATGAAAAAAATTCCTCTTTAGTTCAAAAACAGCTTTGCAAAACAAGCTCCGAAGATGACACGTTTCAGATTTTAGCACATTATGATGTAATATTGCAATGAAAGACTGCCTCTGCTTAATCAGATCAATGCCTACTTCCACATCATCACATATTTGGCCCTGCCTACTGCCACGTTATTGAGATGAGGAGACAAGAGAGATACAGAATCACAGGACTAAAAATACTGTAACATTACCTTCCAAATGATCCAAATGCTAGGAAAGTTATTTTTTCTCTTAGAAGCATGAACATAATCTGTTATTTAAAATGCGATTGAATTATATACAGAAAGTGGTCAAAGAACGCTTCCGTTAACAATCATTGGAGCTGTCAATCACACAGAGCTGGGTTTCTGGAGTTATCTGGACTCTCGCCTAAACTCCCGTCCCGTTATAATCGACGAATCGCTTATTTACATTGTGAGAGTGCAGAAATGGAGTATTAACAGACATGACATGTTTTTGTCTGTAAATATAATCCTACAGATCTAAATATGATGCCATAACTTTTCATGTTTTGTTAATCTCGACTGCTGTAATAGTAAAAACGTAGTAAACGTTTTAGAGCGAGTTCCACGTATAATATTTATTTCATATACAAAGACGTTAGCCAATCACAGCAGTGGGTGTTAACATTGAAGTCTCACAGCAGACACGTCCCTTCCAACAGTGTGTTCAAATATGAGGGATAAAATGTATTATTTATAAATTATGACAATTTTTCATGTAATAATCATACTAATATTATAAGTTTTTGTACGTACAAGCCAGTTTTCTCTTGAAATTATTCAATGTAAAATCTTTACCATTAATGGGATATTTCCTGATCTTTAATAGAGATTCTTTATGTTTTCTTTTATTTATTTTTATGGTCTATTTAATGAATGTATTGTGTTAAATTATTATTACATTTTTTATTTTACGATTAATGTTCTTTAATGTTTTAAATTAAAATATTTATTTATTTTTATTTATTTATTCTTTAATAAAAAAAACTATTTTTATTATTACCACTTGCTTTTTTTTTTTTTTTTTTTTTTTTTACAACTATGCATTTGGCAGACACTTATTTAAAGTTAAGTTAAATTTCATTCAAGTGATACATTTTATCAGTTTATGCATTCCCTGGGAATCAAACCCATGACCTTGGTGTTGTCGGCACCGTGCTCTACTGTTGCTCTAAGCTACAGGAATGCTCAAACAGGGGTGCGTTTCCTGAAAGCATCGTTAGCCAACTATGGTCGCAAGTTCCGTCGTTACCAATAGAGTTCAATGGAAATTGCGACCAACTTGAGTCCATAGATGGCTAACGATGCTTTTGGGAAACGCACCCCAGAATAGCACTGCACTTTTTTATTTAATTGATTTTTTTCTTTTTAAAGAATGTATTTTAATGAGATATTTTGTACATACAAACAAAAGACTAGACACACACAGATAAGATGGAAAAACAGGAGAAAAAAAAAAAATATATATATATATATATATATATATATATATATATATATATATATATATATATATATATATAAGCATATATACCAGTACCTGTTGATGTGGCTGAACACTCCATGGCTATCACAGCATCCAGGTAGCTCTGGCCAAGCCACTCCTCATACGTTTTCTTCTCTCCCACACCAATTAAAGTGATGGTTGAGTCCTTAAAAATCAGGTCCGACCCCTCATAAGCGCTTGAGTCAAACATCTTGAAGCCTGAGGCAGCATTAACTCCAAAGAAATTCTGAAAGATGCAAACCAAAAAGTCCCACCTCCATTTTCATATTACCCTGAAAAATAACATTTGGCATAAGCAACAGTACCTGGGCTTTGTCCAGAAGGCCAAAAATGAGGTGGTGGTTGATATCGGGTCTTATCATAACAGCGTGGGAAGGGACACGGGCCAGGTTGCACTTGGTGTACTGAGTGACTTCAGCACGAGACTCCTGAGAACAAAGCAGCTGAAATTCACGGTAATCCAATTGCTCCGCCCAAGAATCAGTATTGTTTCCTGAAAAATAATTATTCTGACATGAGAGAAGTACTCGAGACTTTAACACACACAACGTAATTGTCTGCTTGCTGTTACATAATTCTCTCTGAAATGTCCAATGGGTTTTTAGTTTTTTGTGTGAAAAATATTATTTATTGTTTCTTAAAGGGGCACTTGGCAACTCTAGTCATTTCTTAGCTTATTTTCACGTTTGTTGTTGCATGTTTTCTCATCGAGCTCATTCTCAAACAGCTGTGCGGCGTATATTTTCACAACAGTGTCATAAAAAACTCACTTGCGGCACCTTCCTCCCACTTTCAACCACTGCTTATGTGCATTTGTTATTATCGGAGCCGGCCAACTTTATCGTGTGGAGCTGTGTCTACCGAGTGGGTAATGCATCATACACAGTATCATAGAATTATGTCAAATTGCCATAAAGCAGTTTGCATTCTCTCCAGAACAGGTTATTAAACCATTCAAATTATTTCTAAACGGTTTTATTAAGTTGAAATAGTTGCCAAGTTCCCCTTTAATTTTCTCTCTGAAGTGTTGTTAATCAGAGACCTTAAATGAAAACCTATTCTTCTTCTTATTAAAATTAGACCAGTTCCAACCATTCACTTTTTTAGAAGTGCTTTTCTTTACATTAGCTAATTATTATCATGTTAAGTCTCTTTACTCATCGGAATAATAATTATTAATTTATTATTGTTTTTTTTCTGTTGTTTAATTCAACATTTATTATTAATTATTATTAACACATTTTCTCTCCCTTCTTTAAATCTATGCTTTTGGTTCTGCTATGCTCCTATTTTTTAAGTTTATTTTTTATTCATTTATGTTTTGCTAAAATGTTCTTCATATTCTGACTTGTGAAGCAGATTTTATGGTAACACTTTACTTAAAGCCCCTATTTATAACGCATTATAAAGATATTTATAACGTACATTATATATTATAAAATAATACAATTATAAAATAATTGTAAACAAAGTTAAATAGGATTATAATGTTTGCAGATTCTCAAAATTGGTTGTTTGTCATGTGTTTTAATGCAATTTACTTTGTAAAGGCATGTTTAATTAATAGATAATTATCATATTGTATTACAACTGGTTACAATTATTCATGAGACCATACAATGCAGCAGTATAAAGCATTATATGGGAGAATTACTGCATTAAAAATACTTTTATAATGTATCATACATACTGGCTTTAAGTAAAGTGTTAACGATTTGGTTAAATGAAAGGTGCTACAGAAAATAAAATGTTTTCTTATTATTATTATAGTTATTTGTATTATTATTAAAGATTATGAAAGCGCTCACAGCAAATTAGTCTTCCAGTTAGGCCTACAAATTGATATAATGACTGAACAGCTCTATAAAGACGTTAAGTTTTTTTTACTAAAAGCAAGAAAGAATTTCTGAGAATTACCATTCGTGTTCTGAAATACAGTGGAATGTTTGACAAAGGCCACATCACCATGATTTTCAACAAGGCACCTGGAAATATAAACAGACCATGTTCAACTATTTATTTGTCATGCATATTCATTAGCATCAAATCTTTCAGAGCTATTGTGTAGTAGAGTGGATTACCTAAAGGCTCCATCGTAACCGTCGTATAAGTCCTTGCCTTTTTCACACTTGTTCTGACCACTGGAGTCTCCAATGCACTGCTCACACAGATTACTGGGGAAACCCTTCTGATTGGCTCCGGGTACACAAGATGATTTAAAGAACTCCCCAGCAGCTAAAGGCAGATTTTTTTGGTATTCATATACAGCTAACAACAATATATGACAATTTGTGATAGAATGACAATAAAAAAAAATTATTAGAATTATTGAATTATTAGATTATACAAATCTTAACATATCACTAGGTTACAACGAGAAAGAAATCTTACTACTGGCTATTTGATTCACATAACTTGTATTTATTAGAGCAATGTGTTTGCAAATATTTTATCATGATATATCCAGATTAAGCTGTTTTATATATATATATATATATATATATATATATATATATAATATCTATCTATCTATGTATATATATACTGTATATATATATATATATATATATAATGTGGTCCAAATCTCAGAGATCAGCAGTGAAAGTGCTTCTATTCAGCATTCATTTCTAATGTAATACAAAATGAGTAACACATTACAATGTAAAGTGTTACTCATTTTGTTAAGGTTTCATCTTTTAACATGAACTAAGAATGAACAGTACATTTGAGCATTTATTAACCTTAGGTCATGTAAAGATATAGTTCAAGATATAGCAATCAATTTTTTTAATCAAGTTGTCTGTTAACATTAATTAATAAGCTAAGCTGTGAGCGAACATGAACTACACAGCCCCTAAAGGCACATGGAAGGGGAAAAAAATTATTTGGGAGGAAAAAACGTTTGTCAATGCTTTTTCATTCTCTTTTGCGAGGGAAAGCAAAGGTTTTGTGAGAGAAGACAAAATCTCATAGTTTTTCCATCACTATGTCCCTTTATGAGCTCCGTACATGAACAAGCAATGTAAAATAGTTTTTCTATTAAATAACATTAAGAACGATTAATAATGCGTTCAAAAAATTTGTGGCTAATTGATAATTAAATTTAGCTATTGCATTACCTAAGAAGACCTCACTGTAAAGTGATACCACAAAATGTTTCATTTACAAATTACAAAGAACAATTTGAGTGAAACGTGTAACTGAAACATTTAACTTCAGACTTTGGGACCCCATGGTGTAAGTCCACCACATGTCCTACCTTGGGGCACTTGGCATGTCTCTGGTCTGATGATGCCTTTTTCTATTAGCAGACCCATTGGAATGTTCCAGCCTGCAGTTCTGCCATAACCTGTGTGACAAGAGCGCTTGCTCTTGAGGTCACTGAATCTCTGGATGTCCATGTTGCTCTTCCTCAGCACAGCCACAGCATAATAAATGCTTCCGTCAGTGTCTCCTGCGACAGAGAATCACAGTGGCTTGTGAAAATGAATCATCAGTTATGAATAAAACACAAAGTAGTTAGCCAGAGAACACATTTTGTACTATATTCAGGTAATTTCATATAAAAACTATATGGAAGCCTATGAAGCTGGTTAAGTCAAAGTACACTGACAGCGTATGGCACTAACCTGTGTAGCTTTCTCCAACCGCAGGTTTTAAACCAAAACTCTTTCCTGCTGTGTAGATGTAGCCTCCATCAAGAGTGATGACATCAGCTTCCTTGTTCTGGAGGAAAAGAGTCTCATTCAAATAGAGCACAACTTTTTCACCTGCATTGAGTTTATACAAATCAATTTCTCTATGGATAAAATGAAAGGGATTTTTCGTTTCAGAACTTGACTGTTGCACTGTATTGCAGGTGTTAAGAAAAACGTAAAAAAAAGCAAGTATGGATAAAATGGTTTGGTATTTAAATGACTGCTGACTGGCATACTTGTATTTTCTTCAAACAGTCTTCCACAGATGTGCCATAGACACACTGAATATCAGGAATCAAATTTTTGCTTTTGAAAGCCACAGCCATGTCTGCACATTTTTGCTGCTCTCCATTAGACAGGACACACCATCGAAGTTGAGTGGGGACATCTGTATAACACACACACAACAGAGTTAAGCACAATTTAAAACACAAGAAAGAAAATAGAACATTTTTCATTGTTTGATGAAGATACAGAAATTCACACCTGACTTTGAGCAGTCCATAGCTCTCAGTATGTCATAGTATCGGCCCATCCATTCGATATGGTTTTCATTTCCAGCTTGGATAAATGTTGTTGAAGCGTCGCTGAACAACAAGTTTTCCCCACTGAAGTCTGCTGAGGAGAACATGGAGAACCCAGACTTTTGCTGAAGAGAAACACACAAACACATTTAAATAAAACAGCATGTTGCACAACAAAATAAAATGTACATTTTGTATTTACTCTATTAGAAATTAATGAATGAATCCTAATGAAGTCGAAAACCTCAGATATCAGTAAAAGTATCATACCAGTCCCTCACGCAACATGTTGTAAACCACCGAACTGCTGATGTCAGAGTGGACAACAATCCCCCTCGATGGCACTCGCGCCAGATGGCATTTCTCATAATCACTGACTGGACTGCGAGTGCCGTCCCGACACAGGAGCTGATAGTCTTCAGAGTGCAAGACCTGAGCCCACGAATCCCCCTTACCTGACACACAAAGTTAAGATATATTATTATCTTCATAAACCGATCACAATCCATTAATTATCCATAACACAATATTAGAAGACCCCCAACTAGCTATAATAACAAATGGGACCTTATTATTATTATTTATACTATTATTATTTAATTTTCATTAAATGTGAATTAATTTAGTACATGCTGTTGTAATAATATTGTTATATTAATTATATTAATATAATAATATATGATTAATATATATATTTTTTAATCATTCTGTGGCCCCCTTGGAAGTTTGACACAGACTAGGCTACACATTTACCATCAGTATTCTCGCCTACAGTGGTGTGCTTTACAAAGGCGACATCACCAGCATCCTCAACCAAGCACCTGTGAAGCCCAAAACTAACATCAGTTAAGTGACATAATGAACATATTTCTCACTATCAGAGCTGCAACTGCACCAGATTTCAGTGTAGTATGATGGGACAAAGAACATGGTACCTGAATGCTCCGTTATATGCATAGTATTGCTCCTTGTTGCTTGGGTCACACTTAAAATTTCCAGATTTATCTCCCACACAGAGCTGACACAGGGATGCAGGGTCGTCTTTGGCCCCTGGGATACAGCTGGCCTCAAAGAAGTCAGCAACCCCTAAAAAGCCAAGATAAGATACTCTTTCCATTTGAAAAAGGCAATCTGATCATTTTTGATGCGCTGCACCAAAAGTAAAGAAGTACCTTGAGGGATGTCACAGCCCATGACAGACATCATCCCAGTGTCAATCAAATACCCTAGAGGGATGTTCCAGCCAACTGTGCGGTTCTTCCCGGTGTGACAAGACTTCTTCCCCTTCAGAATGTTGATGTTGATGGCTGAATTATTCTTTTTGACCACAGCAACACCGTAGTAAGTTATTCCTTTCCCTATGGCCATTAAGAGAAGAAAAACGTCTACATTTTATGTTGATCTAAAAGTTTAATTTTTTCAGATAAAACAATGGATGGTCCATAACATCAGTATTTTTATTACAATGCACATTTATTATATTTGAATCATGATAAAGAAACCAAATACAGATAGAGGCATCATCTGTTAATAATCAACCTAATGTTTCAGCTGACATTTAATTATGTCCTGGTAACACTTAACACTTTTGATTTGAATAATGTATTAGTAAATGCTGAAATTAACATTGACAAAATTTACAAATGCTGTAGACGTGCAGTTCATAATTAGATAATGTTAACTGAGGTAGTTAACTAATGTTAACTAACGGAACCTTGTTGTAAAGTGTCACCTGTGTCCTAAATCACCGTATTTTCCATTTCAACAGTTCATTGGTACAACTTGCATAATCTGGTATCTTGAAAATAAGAACATCGATCATACCATCTGCTCCAGATTCTCCAGCTGCAATTTTGAAGCTGGCTTGCTTGCCAATGTTGTATATCTCTGAAACACTGGCTGAAAAGGCATCAACTTCTTTTTTCTGTCAAAATCAATATTAATCACAAATGCAACTTAGCTCATACTCTGCAAATAGAACAGACACTTTCAAAGCATGCTATCTGAGAAGATACACTTTTTCAAGTTTTTTTTTTTTTTTTTTTTTTTTTTGTAAATTATACTTCAAGCGTCCAAAATAAATGCATAAATAGACTTACGATGAGTTTTTGAGCACATTCTGATTTAGATGAGACACGGACGCACTGTATCGCTGGTCGAATTGAAGCACTGGTGAATGCCTGAGACATGGCTTTACATTTGGACTCCTCCGCCTCAGAAATAGTGCACCATTTTATTGTACTCTGCCCTGACACTGCACAAAGTAATGTATAATATATATCAACATCATAATTTTCCCTCAAAATGTTCTGATTTCCTGCTCAGAACACTGCTCATTAAAAAAAAAAAAAACATAATAGCGTACGTAGCTGTTAATTAATCTGGGTGGGATGGGGAAAATCTTGTTTTTTTTCCCCTTAATTTTAAGTTTTAAAAGTTGCTTACCATAATGCGTGACTGCAAGTAGAACACTTAGAAAAGTCAAGGTGTCCATCTCTGACTCGAGAGTGCGCAGATGGTGTAACTGTAGCGTTGAGCCTAGTGTGTGTTGTCGATTTATATCTGTGAGAGTCTGTTGCAAAGTCCAAAAGTTAGCCCTTTGACATAACAAAAACGGAAAATGATACCATAATAAACGATACGTGCAGTCACACTTTCGAAATTTATAGACTATAATATGACTAGACACGAGGACTCAAAACGACACGTCCAAGACGGGCGAAGGTCCAAGGTGCACACAGAGGGGTCTTTCATTCTTGAAAGCTCCACCTTTTTCCATAAAAGAATGGAAAGAGACTCTGAATCAAGTGCAGTCATAAACCCAGGTAAAATAACTTTTAACTTAGAAAAGAAAATTATTATTTCAAACGAGTAACTTTCGTCAAACGTAGTTTATATTCTGAGGACAAAAAGCTTTAAGACACTTTCTGGTTAACAAACCACACACACACACACACACACACACACACACACACACACACACACACACACACACAGAGAGAGAGAGAGATATATACAGTATATATATATATAGGCTAACGTTTGGCTATATATGAAGAGTTCAGATGCAAAAGCCTCTAAATGCCATTTGAAATTTTCTTCTTTAATGATGATTTTTATCAAACTTGTATATTTAAGTTCAGTAATTTCACTTAAATAACAATTAATAGGTAATTATCATCGCCATTTAAGTGTAATTACTGAACTTAAATATACAAGTTTGATAAAAATCATCATTAAAGAAGAAAATTTCAAATGGCATTTAGAGGCTTTTGCATCTGAACTCTTCATATATAATTTCATCTAAAATTGTCCAATCAATACTTTCTATAGCAGGCAATACCAAAACATAGACTTATTTAATTAACAAAAGTGAAAATACTTTCGAGACGCACTTCTGCTGCATGATGCTGCCCTAAACGTTACGCTTTTGACTCGTTGTAAATCATAATGTTAATTGTTTTACAACAGGAAGGAAACATATGCTTAACGACGACAGATATAGCAATACAAAAATATACTGCACAATTTATTGTGGCAGTGTTTTAACTGATCTCCAGACTGAATAACGGTTTTGCATAAAGTGACAGTTCACCTAAAATGAAAATTCTGTCAGCATGTTGTTCCAAACCGGTATGACGTTTCTTTCTAGTGTGGAACGCAAACAAAGTTATTTTTAATGTTGGTAACCAAACTGTTTTGTTTACAATTGACTTCCATTAAAAAAACAAAAAACAAAAAACAGAAATGTCTCAAAATATTTAAAGCGCTGCCATTTAGCCCAGTAGCACGGGCGCTCGCGGTCGAGTGCAGAATGAATGGGAGTCAATGGGGTTTCACCCCCAGAAATCCACTTTTCTCAGGATGTATTTTTTTGTCAAGTAATTTGAAAGTTGCATTCAAAAGGGAGGGCTAAGAAAATACACTCAGCTGAAAATTGCATTTATAAGTTCACTTATCTGTTCTAAAAATCCGTTCAAAAATGTGATGACGTCACACAATAGCAGAATGCTAGCGTGTTCCGGCCAACAACGGCCTAACCTGTAAGAAATCAAAAGGACATAAGTACTCGTTCATTCGACTTTTGGCCTATAATCTATATTGAACTTGCGGAATCAACAATAAAATCTATTTTGATTTAACGACAAGCAGGTGAAAGAGACACATTTAGCCGTTTAGCCCCATAGACTCCCATTCATTCTGCACTCGCCCGCGACCACCTCCAGTGGAATTCTAATGGAACTGCAACCAAGGTGATGCACAATAGGGCTAATACAGGGGTTCTCAAACTCGGTCCTGAAGGGCCACTGTCTTGCAGAGTCTAACTCCAACCCTGATCAAACACACCTACCTGTGAGTTTCTAGCATAGATATCTATATAAAGGCTAGATATCTCGTCCACGCTGCTGGCCAATGGAGGTCGACGTCTGCACCTGGCGGCCATCTTGTCACAGGTAGCTCGCTCACTCGTAACATTGTGCTAATGGTACATGCACTATTTAAATAATCATAACTTGCTCAATTTTCTACCGATTTTCAAACGGTTTGGTTTGTTATAATAGTCAGAGATGTAGTTATGACACAGCATACTTATGAATAATAAGTGTATAAATAATCATCCAGATAATTATAGACACGTTAATAACGTTTGTAAGAAACCAAACCGTTTGTAAATCCGTCAAGATTTCAACGAGATAAGAGTATTTGTGTTCGTGCTGACCACTCATCTTACATCAGCTTGCCTGTGACAAGATGGCCGCCGGTGATGACGATAGAAACTCCGCCTTAAGACATCTAGCCTTTATATTGATATCTATGGTTTCTAGTGATCCTGAAGACCTTGATTAGCTTGCTCAGGTGTGATCAGGTTTGGAGCTAAACTCTGCAGGACAGTGGCCCTCCAGGACAGAGTTTGAGAACCCCTGGGCTAATAGAACCCTTTTGCGCCGACGTCACAGTTACGTCACGGCGCTAGCTGGAGGCAAAACAAAGTGAAAACTGGAGGCGGCCAATACAAAACAGCACAGATTCGGCTACATATAAGCAGTGTTGTGCAAGTTACTTCCAAACTGTAATACATTAGGTATTACTTGTTACTGTTATTTAAAAGTAATTCATTACCTTATAATATTACTGTCCCAGAATTGTAATGCGTTACATTACACATGTATTACTTTTGAGTTACTTTCACCAAAATAACTAAGTAGAACTTAACTTTTGGGCTGTAACGATATGCAATATGAAACCGAAATCGCGATTCGCCACACGACTCAGATCCACAAACCTACAGAATCGCGACAAACCTCTTCCAACTCCCAGCGTTATTCTCCTTACCGTCCAGATCCAATGCTGCCTTATCTTTAAATTAGGCTAGTATTATTTGAAGTTAACATTATAAAATACGTAGACCTACACCACAAAACTAGTTGAGGATAAATTATTTAAAATTGGGGAAGTCCAGCATTATGGACATGACATTTGCAGTCAAAACTTGAAATAAAAATTCTCAGAAAATTCATGTATTGAAACATATATAGGCTCCTTAAAGGACTCCAGACATTAGACAAATATCAGTCTATGTTTTATTTTTAATATTAGGGAAAAGACACACATTCATGCGTGACAAAAAAAATAGGAGGCAAAGTACATTTTTTGTAATTCTGTTAATTACACTGCGCAAATCGGATGAGGAAGGGTTGGCTCTCCAGTCTCCATAGAACTTAAAATATTCATTTTATTTTAGTTTTCGTGTTCGCATTTATGAGGAAAAAACAATGTTACAGACGCGACCGCTCTGAACTGGCACTAAAAGACTGCTTTAAAACTTTCACATAGTCTGTTGCCTTTAAGAAGTAAAAGCAGACAATACACTGTAATACAACTGTAATACAAGCCTCACTGAACATGTAACGAGTAAAATATTACTGAAAATTGATTAGTAATGCCTTACACTACTGCGTTACAGCAAAAAGTAATATGTTACTGTAATGTATTACTTTTGTAATGCGTTACTCCCAACACTGCATATAAGGAGCTTAAATAATGGCCTATATGCACGGCGGTATTCCCGGTGAAGGTGTAAGGATGCTCGATAACTTCCGCCGATCGTAGAGTCCAATGTAATACCGAGAATTTATATTGAATTTTATACTCTATGGTTATACTAATGAAACGTTAGTCACAAAAACAGATAAAACAGACACCCCTCGTTGTGTTAATGCTTCTTTTTAAAATTATATTAAATAAACATAACTATTTATAAAATTACACCTAAACGTATACGTTTCGTTTCAAAGACGGGAGGACAGTAAATTTGGAAGATTCTGCCATAATCCCGTTTTCCTTGGTTTTCCTCCGCTTTAATCTCCACAACCGGAAATGGACGAGCATTCTTACGTCAAATGCGGAACTTATGCGTGCATATTTGTTACTATTATTAAATGTCATCTTGTTGTGTTGTTTGGTGCAAGAATTGATGAAAAATGAATATTCTGTATATGGAACTTTTATTTCTAGAAAATATTCACATCATTAAAATCGCACTGTAATGTCACTCTTTCATTCATTGTCGTGGTCTCGGCGCTGGCTCGGCAGAACTGCGGATCGTACACACAAGTCTTGTACAGGACCATATAGGCATCTAAAGATTTATATGCCCTCAGTTTCTCTTTACGATCGGTTTCTCTATAAGGTAGGTGTAGAAATCAGGCCACTCAACCAAGGTAACGTACGTTAATCCTGTCAGATCATCCATGCATTGAGTGAGCATGTAGGCGGCTACAGGTCTGCCAATCTGGTTCCGTCCGTTAAAAATAACTTTTGAAAATAACAATCGCGGTCCTGAACACTGAGCGACCTTACACATTAAGATAATATCGGATTTTCTCCAGTCATTGTTAAAAAACAAGCTAACAATCCTTGCTAACTAGCGTTAGTGAAGCGGTCAGAGGGATCTTTCTGCCTCCACCTAAGCTCCGCCCACAAAAAAAACTTCACCATGTTTACCAACTGAAAAGGGGTCTATAGGAAGTGCTAAGGCTCTCCGTTAGACGGGCTCTGGTAGCACCTCAATTGTTCGCGTTCATACCACACACCCATTTACTCAGTGAAAATTCGCAGTGAAAATTTGCGGGGCAATGAAGACCGCACCGACAGAAAAGACAGAGCAGGTTGCTTTTGATATGAAACATTTTTCAGCACTCAGTTCTGTCAATTTTCTAACGAAATTCAAACAATAAATAACTGGCGCTTGTGTTGTGTGCAACGTAAATGTGACGTGACCACATGGAAAAAGGTCATAGACAGCTGGAGAACAATGTCACGTAGCATTACATTTAACGTTACATTAGGAAAGCTATTACCATAGCCTACCACATTAGTTGGTTAGAAAAATGTGGGTTAACTTTAAACTTCTCTAAACTTTTTGGTTCAAACTTTCACAAACCAACTTGAAGTTTCTCCGCCATCTTTTTTATCTGTTTTTTTTTATCTTGAGAAAAATTAACATGTATCCCTAGTATTTATCCAAATTATATCGGATTTGAATTCCAAGAATTGAAATCGTGAAATTTGTGTCAAGGAATAATAGAAAAAGTATCCTGCCAGTCATTGCACCATGTAAACATTGTAACATGTTATCACAAAACTCTAAACTTCTGTTCAATTACCAAATGTTTTTTGTAACCGCCCCCCCAAAGGAGAAAAAAAAAAGATACAATCAAAGCACTGTGTATGAGAAAAAAGTTTTTATTAGCTGTTCTCCTCTTTGACAAATGGAATGAATCAAGTTGGCAGATTATGTACATAATCTAGTCATAAAAGTGTGTTAGAAAGCCGTGAAGACAAGTTAGAGAAGCAATCTTTTAGAAAACAATCATCTCCGAGTAACTTAATAATGAAAAGGGGATGCTGTCAGTGTGGCCCCTGGTGGAGAGTTAAAGGCTTGTGTTAGAGAGTGGCAGAGCAAATCTCTCTTCAGCTATGGGTAATCGACAAGTTCACATACAGAGAGGCAAGAATCTCTTAGCCTCTAACGTATCAGCTCATGCTAACTCTGACATTTTCACAATCCCAGGTGAAAACAGAAAGAGAAGCCCTCTCCTCCGCTTCTCAATCATATTTAATGCGTCAAAGACTATTGCTTTTAGAAATCATGCAAGTCACATGAAAAAGTAAACATGACATAACTACATAGGAGAGATAGCTGAAGACTACAAACTGCCAACTTGAGTTTTTCATATTGTTTGAGCAGATGCAAATGGAACACCAGGTGCCCCGTGAATCAGTGTTGTTTTTGCATAAAAACAAACCAAACAACAAACGTGATGGAGGTAAAAGTAAAAAAAAAAAATATATATATATATATACACACACATACACACATATTTATATGAGTGTACTGTATGTTTGACATTATAAAGAAAATAATTCCCATAGGTATAGTGTTTAATTAAAGCTCAATATAGACTTTTATTATAACAAAATAGGCAGTATACTGAGGGATTAAATATACATTACAATTTATACTCTCTTATTTGCATTGCTGTTTCTTGAAGTAAGAATATGTCATCACCTGGATTTGAAAGATAACCATAAGTCGTTCCTTTCTTCACCTCAACTATAAGCTACTCCCATATGCACCATGATTAAAATGTACACAGATTGTTAAGACAAATAGACATTTAATATAAAAAGAAGAACTTTTGTGCCAAATGTTTTTGTCCTCTTTGTGCACTTGTGACAAAACCGATCAGCTGTGTACAGCAAGTGGGCTGCTTGATCTTACAAAATAAACAAGAGAAAACAAAAGTAATATGACGGCAGCAGTTCACATAGTTCAAATCTGTCTGACAAAAAAAAAAGTGTTAAATCTCAAAAGAATAATCCAAAACATGCTCTTAATGCAAAAAACATGCAAAGTTTAGCTTTATGTCTCATATTTGGGGGACGGGGACAAACCAAAATGTATATAATGCATTAACTCATTGGTTTTCCTTCGAGAAAGTCACCTCCCTTAAACATTAAGGAATCTGTACCGTATAATCTGTCCAGTAAGTCGCTGTTCAGCAATGTCTCCTCCCACCGGAGGATGAAATGCGGAGATTGAGATGCGAGTTCTAGACAGCAGTTTCAAAGAGAGGCATGAGAGAGAGTGAGTGAGAAGTGGCTGTAAGCCCACCATGACCCCAGGCCCATCCAAAGAAAACATGTGTCCTATGCTCAGGGGTCAGAAAGCCAATGTCAGCAGCAGGCCAGGTTAGTATAAAAAAGAAAACGGGGGAAAAAAAAAAAAAATTACAAAAAAAGTTTAAAGAGGAATAAGGTTTATTTGTCTTCAGCCGTCTCATAACTTCTCTTTGACGGGTACCCAGATGACCGGCCCAGATTGCTCCTCGATGATCTGCTTAACCTGGTTGTAGATCTCTTCTAATGTGTCCCCTTGTACAATGGCTGCAAGAAAGATAAGATCAACATCGATGAGTATAATACATCTCACTCCAAGACTCTGAGACTAAGTACATGCAGCCCATAATTATTTGCCACTGATGCCAAATGCGGTCACTCCCTTTATAATAAAAAGTCTTGGTAATATTACAAAAATAAAAAGCAAATAAATGTCCTAACAGTATTTTATAATACTTTAAATTGTTGTGTTTGTCTCAGGGGCAACAAAGGACTCGTCTACTGTCAATGGTGTAGCGATGTATGAAGTACAGCTCATACAGAAGTCATTTTAAAACGTAGCAGCTTTCATTTGGTCAGCACAATGAATTTCATTTCAATGATTTCCATTTGAAATGACTGGATTAGACCCACGAAAACTCGATTGAAGTAAATGTGACCGAACCATAATGCAATTAAAAATTGCATGTCAGTCCTGTGGAAAGTAATGATGTTGCTACATTTTAATGTCTATGGTGTTACAGCAATATAAAACCTCATAAATCTTCTGTGCAAGCACTAATACAACATACCATATTTTCCATCTGCGGTTAAAGGTTATGTGCAGTGAGCTAATGTCTGTCTTGGCTTTTTTTTTTAACACAAAAAACTGATTGCTTCCTTTTAATGTTTTGTTTTGGAATTTTTAATAATGATTTCTTTTGAATATTGAGTTAAACTGAAAATAAACATATTACAGTATGAAATAAATTCAAGGAAACTTTCCTGGATATACTTCAGGCAATCTTTCAAAGACTAAAGGTTATTTGTGGTGAGGAGACATAAAACTACATAGTGAAGATGCACATGCTTGTGCCTTTTTGTGATATTTCAATGAAAACCCCAACCTTATTTATTCTTTGAATGACAGTGGTTTTGTGCAAATGTTGATTCCGTTTTAATTCAATTAAAATCAATAAGCTTGGCGTCTGTCGACTCAGCGTGTCTTGGTAGGGGAATTAATATAAACATAATTTGTTGTGTGACTTAAAGGGACAGTTCAACTAAAAATGAATATTGTCATTATTTACTCACCCCTGTGTCATTCCTAAACATACTTTCATCATCTATCATAAAAGAATATATTTGTCCATACAATGAAATTCAGTGGGGATCAATGTTGTTTTGGACCCCATTGACTATCGTTGTATGGGGGAGAAAAAAAAAAGAAACACTGAGATATTAAAAACATTGATTTTTTATGTTGCACAAAAGAAAGTCGTACAGGATTGGAATGACATGAGGGTGAGTAAATAACAGAATTTTCTTCTTCTTTTTTTTGGAATAAACTGGATGTAAAACTGGAATGTGTGTTAAAATATCTTAGTTTAACAGAGTGTTGCAGGGATGATGTTAATACCCAGAAAACTAATTCACCACTGGTTCACTCGAGATATTTCTATGGGGTTTTATAATGGGGTTTTTTCAATTTACAGTACAAGTAAAATAATTTCTGTTTTAGAGCATGTGAGGGATTCCGCTCTATGCCAGTGTGCTCTGCTCAATCGCTCACGGCCCAAGCGAATGCTTCAACTAGGCTATGTAGCGCTCACACTCACCAGTAAAACGACATTCACTCCCACAATAAATTTCACTGTACTTTACATCTTTCTGCTGGTAATGGATTTCTTGAATAAATGTCTTAATTACATTTGCCTATAGATAACAGTTATAGCAATATAGCAATATTTTATTAAGTTGTAGGCTTTAAATAAATAAAAAATAACTTTGCTGTTAGTATATCAAAAAATTCATCTTCGCTAACCAAGTTTCTCCACTCTTCCCTTCAATTTCGTTGTCTTCTTCGGTCTTAAAGGGTTAGTTCACCCAAAAATGAAAATTAAGTCATTAATTACTCACCCCCATGCTGTTCCAACCCCGTAAGACCTTCGTTCATCTTCGGAACACAAATAAAGATATTTTTGATTGAATCTGAGAGCTGGATCAGTCCTACATAGAATGCCTAAGGGACTGGCTCTTGATGGCCCATAAAGTCATTAAAGAAAAGGTTTAAATATTCTATGTGCCTACAGCGGCTCAATTATAAGTTTATCAAGCGACAAGACTACTTTTTGTGCGAAAAAAACATAAATAACGACTTTATTCAACCATTCCATTACTTCCTTATGGGCACATGCGCGAGAACTGAGATGAGGACGTTCTCCTTCGACTTGTTACCGGCTGCTCACCGCTTAGGAGTATTACCGCCCCCTACCGTATAAGATGATGTGCTGATATAGCTGGAAGCGCAAAACTTTCTGTTTACAAGCAGAGGAAGATGCGCACTGTACATACGCTTTTCAATTAGCGTATTTTCCGCACTACAAGGTGCACTTAAAAGCCTTTAATCTTCTCAAAAAACGACAGTGTTCCTTATAATCCGGAGCGCCTTATATATAGATCATCATCTTATACGGTAGGTGGCGGTAAAACTCCTAAGCGGTGAGCAGCCGGTAACAAGAAGTAGACGAAGGAGAACGTCCTCGTCTCAGTTCTCACGCATGCGCCCATAAGGAAGTAATGGAATAGTTGAATAAAGTCGCTATTTATGTTTTTTTCGCACAAAAAGTAGTCTCGTCGCTTGATAAACTTATAATTGAGCCGCTGTAGGCACATGGAATATTTAAACCTTTTCTTTAATGACTTTATGGGCCGTCAAGAGCCAGTCCCTTAGGCATTCTATGTAGGACTGATCCAGCTCTCAGATTCAATCAAAAATATCTTTATTTGTGTTCCGAAGATGAACGAAGGTCTTACGGGGTTGGAACAGCATGGGGGTGAGTAATTAATGACTTAATTTTCAGCCAAAAATTTAAAGTTCACCCAAAAATTAAAATGTTGTCATCATTTACTCACCCTCAAGTTGTTCCAAACCTGTATGAGTTTCTTCTGCTGAACACAAGAGATGATGTTTTGAAGAATGTTCGTAACCAAAAAGGTGTGGAGCACCATTGATTTCAATTTTTTTTTTTTCCATACTATGAAGGTCAATGGGGACCATCAACAGTTTAATTATAGCCTGGTAATACCAAACTCTGCTAATTCGCTTTGCTTCATAGGCAGAGTATGGAATGGCATATTTGTCATATCTTGTCTGAAGTATAAAATCATTGGTTAAGCCAATCGAATAACATTTGGTTATGACTTGTGTTATTCGCCAGATCAGCCGCATCGAACTTCCACTGTAAACACATATATGATGCGAAAACGAAACCATCGAGCGAAATACCGGAGTGAACATGGCTGACCCGAGTTTTACTGCCTCCTTAACCTGATCCTCCATGAGTGCAACCAAGGGGGACACAATCACAACTATCACCTTGCCGGCCTTTGTTCTACCCAGTTTCTCGCTGACGATCGGTAATAGTTGATAAACTTTTCCCAAAACCTGTCAGGAGAAGGCCACAACATCACCTCCATTCAAAATTTTTAACAAACACTGAATGCCGGGAATATTCTCCACAACAGAGCAAATTACATCCCGTGTCTCCATATCCGCAGTCGTTTTCGATTTCCCTAACCTAAAATACAATCTTAAACTCTGTGCTTAGCGTCTACATCACGGCTCTCAGCCCTCCCTCTGTTTGTTAATTGTTTGTTAATGTCTCAGACTGAGTACAGAAGCAAACTGAAATTGAGCGGAAGTACAGGCTAGTTTGATTACCCATATTCCTCAAAACATCTTCCTTTGTGTTCAGCAGAAGAAAAAAATTCAAGTATCCTCAAGACCTTATTTTACGTATTTATAAATTGGAAAACACCATTATAAAACCCTATAGGAAAAAGTCTGGGTTTTGACATCTTCTTTGCACCGCTCTATAGTAGAGTGTGGATTTGTTGGAGGAAAGGTAAGGTAAGAGATCTATAGATGAAATTGACTTAAGTAGAAAGGTCAGAATTGATTTGGATGTGGGTAAGTGTATTCTACTGTTCTCACCGGTGAAGTGTTCTAAGAATTCCTGCTCCAGTTTCATGGCTCTGTCATAAGTCTTCCTGCCTTGCTCCTCCATCAATCTTTTATTCATCTCTCTGAGGAGGACACAGAGGACCTGTTATTAGTACCAATCAGTCAAGCTTTGGCATTTATCATGAGTTTGAGGACCCTTTTATACAACAACGTACAAAATATTCTCCACTGATTTTGGTTTCACGAACACCGCTATGGGGTAGAGCTGTGCTAACTGGAGTCGTTTGATGGCATTGCCTGAGACATCCAGGATGCAATGTTTGCCCTTAAAGAACAGTGGAAAAAAATAGTCACATGAAAAATGGGAAAACTGCTGCACCGTGAAATCATCACGAAACTCACAAACAGAAAATTCCTTTTTTTATTACTGCCATAAGTTTATTACTTGCAAAAAGTTGAACTTGTTCACCTTTTCTGCAACCTCTCGCACTGACTGCACGCTTGTCCCATAGAGGTGGTTGTTATATTGGCCCGCCTCGATGAACTTGTGATCTTGAATGTCTTTTTCCATTTGCTCCCGTGAGACAACAAAATGATAGTCTCTGGCATCAACCTCGTAGTCTCGCTTTGGTCTAGTCGTGTCTGGTCAAAGAACAGTAATGACCATTATAACAGTGCAGATGATATTTGAAATACTGCAAGAAATAATAAAACTGTGTACTCACGGGGAACACATGACCCAAACTTGTCAGGAAACTCTGAGATTAAATCATCGTTGATCCGGTCTTTCATGGGTCCAAGGATAATCACAGGTCGAGCGTAACTCGCTGTAAACCACAATTATAATATAATATCAGTCATGCATAGTTGTACGATGACATCTACATGTAGTTATGTGGAGTAATAAAAACTAAATGTACCATAATAAAAGAAAGCTTGCAAGAAGACACTCACCTTCCTGTTGGGTGACTGTCTCGTAAGAGAGGACATAATCTTCCTGCCCACCTAGTAAAGACAGAAATACTGATATAAGTTCAAAAATCTTAGAGAATTTAATTAAATAGCCTCAGCTAAACTTTTCTATACCTTACCTAAATTGCTTAAACTTCTGATTGAGAGGATTTTGACAAACATCAGAGATGCATTTTCAAGAGTGGAACTGTTTTTAACTTCTTAGATACAACTTCTCCAGGAGAACATAAGCCTGCTAAAGTACGCTAATTAATAGGCATGATAAATAATATATACTACTAATGTTCGCACATGGTTGGGGTCAGTAAGGTTTTAATTAATGTTAAAAATAAATGCAGTTCTTTTGAACTTTCGGTCCAAAGAACCCTGAAAATAAAAACATTAAGCAGCACAACTGTTTTCATCATTGACAATAATAAGAAATGTTTCTTAAGCACCAAATCAGCATATTATATTTATTACATATACATATACATACATATACATATGTATATATGAAGAGTTCAGATGCAAAAGCCTCTAAGTGCCATTTGAAATTTTCTTCTAGAATGATCATTTTTTATCAAGCTTGTATATTTAAGTTAAGTGATTTCACTTAAATGGCAATGATAATTACCTATTAATTGTTATTTAAGTGAAATTACTGTATATAAGTTTGATAAAAATCATCATTAAAGAACAAAATTTCAAATGGCATTTAGAGGCTTTTGCATCTGAACTCTTCATAAATATATATATATATATATATACATATATATATACATATATATATATATAAATATATATATATAGATCAAAAATACACTAAATCAGTAATATAATAAATATAATATGCTGATTTGAATATAATATGCTGATAGTATTATATATAATAGTGCTGATTTTAGTGTATTTTTGATCAAATAAATGCAGCCATAGTGAGCATAAGAGACTTTATTAAAAAACAATTTAAAACATTATACCAACCTCAAACTTTTAAGCAAGTGTGTACAAGTTTAAGGTTAAAAGACTGGTGCAATAAATAAATAACCTCACTAATCAACTATATTGTTATATGACTAAACCACTTGTACATGAAAATCGAAATAATTGAAATCTGATTTTGATCGTTCAAATATATTTTTCTATTGTATTTATTGCTGTTCATTTAAATTTCAAATATATTACTTGTACCCTAAAGCATGGCTTTGTCACGAAGAGTAGTCTCTAATTTTTACTCACTGTTCAGATTAGATATATTTGAGAGCCATGCAGCATTAAATAAAAGTTCAAGAGGTTTTTCAGCCCACTCAATGTGAATGACAGGCCATGATTTACAAAACTGCTAAAAGACACAGGCTTGTTCAAATGTTTTTTGAAGGTAATATTCCACGTCGTAATACGCTCCGTCTCTGGCATGATCACTAAAACAAGGTACACAGATAACAGCACCAGCTTTATCACATAAAACTCTCAGCACAGGCTATGCACTATAAAGCATGGTATATGAATGGTAAGCTTCTGTTGGCTAAATCAATATTGTGTTTAGATTAGCTTTTAACACCCTTTTAACAATTTTAATGTTGTGTTATGGACAAATAAAATTTACATTTTTTAAATCTTAAAATAAACTATTCTTGTGCAAAATCCTGACTCTGATGTTGGTCTTAAATAGTAGGCTACACATAACATATAAGGTAAGGTTAGAGAACAAAAGGGAATTAAGAACTCAAAAACATGATGAAAGGAAATAAAAGGGAACACACACTTACGGTAACTACTTTCACTATCGCTGGCGTTAGAAGTTACATGCTCTGAAACCATAAAAAGGGGAAAATAAGCACCAGAGACACAAAAACACCAGTCTTGCAGGAATACGCCAGGCACACTAAAGAGCAGTCACCAGCAGATGGCAGTGTTAAGAACCTGAACAGGACATCTGAGGCTTTGAAGCTGATCTCATTTTGCTCAGTTTCTCATAAAACTGCTTCCACAAGATGAATTTGGTATTTCAGCCGAATGAAAAATTGAAAATCATCGAACAGCTTTTAAATGCATGCAAGACAGTCTCTCGGGGGGTGGGGGTTGCTCTTAACACAGTCATGGTGCATTGATGAACATTCATGGATAGAGAGGCTCCACTCCACCACCTAAAAAATGTGTCTCAATGTAGAAGTCTAAGAAAGGACAGAAATACTAAAAATATGGAAGTCAATGGAGATTGTAAATAACCTTCTTTCACATCAACCATGCTAATCTTAACCCCTCATGTTCTGTCGTGACTATTTTCACAGTACTCAAAATGTTTGGGATGAGTTTTTATTTGACTCTTTTTAATTGTTTGGCAAGGATGCATTAAATTGATAAAAAATGACAGTAAAGACAAGAAAGGATTTCTATCTTAAATAAATGCTGCTCTCTTGAAATTTCTACTCAAAGAATCCTGAAACGCATACATTTAATAATTGAATAAATATAATGTTTTCAACATCAATGACAGTTTCTTGAGCAGCAAATCAGCATATTAGAATGATTTCTGAAGAATAATTTTAGAAGATTTCTGCGATCACAGGAAAAATTTATATTTTAAAATATAATATTATTTGAAATAGTTATTTTAAACTAGTAATATTTTACAATGTTACTCTTTTCACTTTTATTTTCAATCAAAAACATCCTTAGTGAAAAACATGAACGAAATCTTACAGACCCCAAACTTTTTGCACAACAACTATATTTTTCATATAGTTGGGTCAGTTGAGTGTTTGCTTATAATCAGTTCCTAATAGATTAAAGCAAGTTACTGTTTCATCCTGAGATGCAAAGAAAATGGCCTGGCAGTCTCTCAGAACTCAAACAGAACATGAGGGTTAAACTCTTCTGACTACAACATTATTTGCATTTGATATATTTGTCCCCACATAACCTTCCAAAGCAGAATCACGGCAATAACTACATTTGTACATATTCTGATGAAAATGTGAGAAGTGCAAAACTCACTGCTCAACTACGAGGTTGTTGCCAAGCTATTGCTAAGCAGGGCACTTGTCACCAGGTAAAAATCACTCATTCGAATGCTTAGTAAAGGTTAGGTCATTTGTTCAAAGCCCTAAACCATAGCTTCTCAAACTTTTTTGTTTGCCAAACCCCTTAGTAACTAGGGTTGGGTATCGTTTGAATTTGAACGATTCTGATTCCGATTCCGATTCCTTGTTTCGATTCCGGTTCCTAACGATTCTCGATTCCGATTCTTTTAAGAGGCAGGGTCAAAAAAGTTTAGCTAACCTTGCTAACCAATGGCCTTTCTGAAGGAAATAATCCTTTCTGAAGGAAATACTTCTGTCACAAATACTCCTTTTGTCAAAAATTTTGCATTTTGCCGAGATTTCGTTATTTTTAGAAAAGTGAAGCCACACTTTGGATCGCCGACGTAAGGTACTCATGTTCGACTCACGTGGTGGTTTCTTCTTCCGCTCGGCGGACTGTGAATATCGAAACTAGGAATCGTAATTTTAACTTTTGAACGATTCCGGGTAAAACGAAGTTAGTCTCGGTTCCAATCGATACTCGATTCTCGATACCCAACCCTATTAGTAACCCCTTTGATTTTAAGTTAATATTTCAATAATTGAATGACACTGTGGCAGAGGGGGCGTGGTTCAGTGAAGTCTGTGACGGGAGAGAGGATCGGGAGACAGGTGCGGCGTGAGTGGGTTAAGTGTAAATGACAAACACCTGTGTCTTATTGCAGTAAGTGGCGTGGGGAGACGGATAAAAGCCATGAGGAGACGAGAGATTGGGAGAGAGAGACCCGTGGAGATTCGTGGGTGAATTGTCATTGAGAGAGAGAACGCCGAGAAAGCTGATTGCAGCGCGTGATGCGCGACTTTTGTTTATGTTGAACAGTGAATATTTTGGTTTTATTTTGAATAAACACTTCATTACAGACACATTTGAATGTTTTCTGACGATAGATAGATATAAAGAGAGATAGAGATATAGATATAGATAGACAGATATATAGACAGACATATAGATAGATAAAGTAGACAGAAAGACAGACACAGATAGATAGATAGATAGATAGATAGATAGATAGATAGATAGATAGATAGATAGATAGATAGATAGATAGATAGATAGATAGATAGATAGATAGATAGATAGATAGATAGATAGATAATCATATAATTTCAGATGCAGATCCGACCTCCGTGTGGAGCATTGGCTATTGTCAGAATCCTTGTGCATTCAAAAATTTCACTGGATTATTACAATTAATGTCTGGAAATGTAAACTGATATTTCCTACTGAGACACTACAACAAAATATATAAATAACTGGCTTAAAACCATTTCTTTGAGGCGAAAATACTAGTGTGCCTAAGACTTCTGCACAGTACTGTAGATAGATAGATAGATAGAGAGATAGATAGATAAATAGATAGATAGATAGATAGATAGATAGATAGATAGATAGATAGATAGATAGATCTTGCAATTCGAAAAGAAAAATTACACTAAAGGCCCTATTTGAACGATCTGAAATGCAATTCCATGGCGGATTGCTATTATAATGGCACATTTGCTAGGCGCACGCCAGGAGCGATTCAACGAGGGGACCGGCATTCTCGCCAGGGCCGTAAAAAACAGATAAGTGACATTGTATGGGGATGGGAGAAACTCACTTCTATTAGCTTCTATTAAACAGGTGTATAATAATTTGGATAAATGTGTAAGCTTGATTTATTTTTTCACATCTTCATGGACACCACAATGATTTCCCGCGTGTGGTAATGTTTTTACTTGTAATTATGTATGGTTTGCAAAAATGGGAACTGCTGCGTCTGTAAATGAGAGAAGCAAAGTGTACGCCCGTTTTGTACACAACTAACTTATGGCCAAGCATGCGCCCTTAAAATACTATCTGAATAACATGCCACTGACTTTAGACTAGGTTTTTCCTGGTCTGTGGCAAAACTGTTTCCTGAAACTGCAAAATGGCACCAGGGAATGTTTGCACAGGAACACGCCTCCTCTTTTCGCTGAAACATCCCCGAGAACGCAAGTTCATTCCCTAATTTACCACCATACGTCTGTGGAGGGAAAAGTCCGCTGTAGGTCGGGTGAAAAATAGGAATGATACATACGTCGTGTACAAGTAATTTGCGCTGGGTGCAAGATATGGCCCTACTGTATGTGTCAATGCATCATTTTTCTACTTTCAAACATTCAAACCATTTTACTTTGGGGGAATATTGGTGAAATTCTGTAGACTTATATCCACAAGATTTTTGGAAATTTTGCAAATTTGAATTTAAATAAAGTCAACCTAACACACACTGTGTTCTCAAAACGATGTTAAACTGAGCACATGCAGAGATGGAGAAGCTATTACTGTGAAAAAAGACGCACTCAAAACCCAGTAATAAAAGCTGCAGTTAACACCAGTGTAAATGAACACAGTGCTGCTCTTCAGTCAAACAGGCAGCACAACAGACTATATACTTCTATAAGTTTGAAGCTTTTGATTTTATATACATACATACATATTTCAGTTTTACTTTGATTAATTGTCAAGCCCTATTTATTTATTTTAACGTTACATTTGATTTTCAATTAATTAATAGCTTTGAGTTCAAGAAGAGCAGAATCAGCTTGTCTTACACCATGGTTAGGGCATAATAGACAACAAATGACCTGAACATAGTGCTGATCTGCAAACTTCGAGCCAGATTTACAAAACAGCACAAAGTAGCATGAGACCGTAATTCCATAAAAGCACAGATGGGAGTGGAAAGTTTGAAAGTTCTGCAGGTTCTAATGCGCAAATTAAAGAACAGACGCAGCAGCTCATTTCCATTATGACAAACGCAATGTTCCGAGGGTAGCAAGCAATAACATCTTCCTCAAACATTCTAATGGCGCTTTTCCACTGCATAGTACGGTACGGTTCGGTTCGCTTCAGGTCGCTTTAAATGGTACCTGGTCTGTTGAGGTTCCAAGCGTACCGTGCCGGTACTAAAATGTGACGTGAAACACTGCAGATCACTGATTGGTCAGACAGAATCGTCACTACCAGCGTCACTACTAGCGTCATTGGATTTGCGACACGAGACACTTTTTTAGCAGTATTTTTGTTTTGCTGCTATCAGCCTCATTTTAAACACATTTTTCCGTCTAGCAGTTAAAAACAACCACATACCGAGAATCAGGAACACCATCCCCTCGATAGTCTCCATTGTTCCTGTGTTGTGGGTTTGAAAATGTGGCGCTTTTAAGATGATGTCATGGCAGTAGAGGCGCGCGCAAATAACGATCAGTCCTACACACTTTGAAGGGGTACTACTGCAGTGGAAACGCAAAGCGAGCCGAACTGTTCCGCGCCGAGTCGAAGCGTACTGAGCCGAACCGTACCGTACTATGCAGTGGAAAAGCGCCATAAATAAATGAACACGAATGGATACAATTGTCTTCTGCTCTCTGTGGTTCCTCCTCCAAGTGCAAAATGGGTTAACATATGCCTTTTTTGGGTGTTAATGCCGCAAATACCAGTTAATTGATCACCGCAAACCTCCTCTCATAAATGTTGTGTCTGAAAGGGAAACTCCTACGAATGCATAACCCTGTCCACACCTTTGTATCTACATTTTTCACTGCGTGTCTTTAGTAAATCCTGACAGTACGTTTTAAAGCCAAAAAGTGTAAAGTCAGTAAATCTAGTTTTATAGTCGTATAGATGCAAAACAGGTTGCAGACACAACACAATTCTAACTCAACATCACTTCTACGGGCAAGACGGTTTCATGGGGAATAATGGGAGTTTGGTGGGGCCGGTGGGGTGGACCTGCTGTAGCCTTTGTGGACTTACTCAAGCCTTTGTCGTCACTCAGGTCCTGTGGAGCAGTCGGCAGAGAGCAAGGAACAGGAGAAAACCACAAAAATAACAATGATTACTGGAACAACATATCTGGTCTTACCGAAGAACTTCGCACCTGCCTTGCAACAAACCCAGACACGGAGACTTCGGTGGTCTTCAACAGACATTCTGTCCTTACATCATCTCATATTGATGCAGAAGGGATCGATCAAATTTCCTGTCATGTTTAGGGTTGTTGCAAAAGCAGGAGTTTCGTTCAGAGGTGTTGGTGCCACTACCCTGTCTTGCGTGCTTTTCTGTATCCACGGCTAATGTACTTACGGTCCACATCGCTTGTTTCCTGTTCGCTGGGGTCCTTGTTCTTGTAGAAATGGAATTTTCGCGAAAAGAGGTTCTTTTTACGCTTGTCATTGAATGACTGCTGAGAAGGAGAGGGAGGGATGGAGGGAGGGAGGGAGAACAAAAAGGGAAGAACAGATGGAATGGTGTTGGGTGTCTAGTGCAAGTATGAACAAATGCCCAACTTAACAGATGCCCATGTTACTGGCTCTGTGGCCACCGCCATCCAATAAAATGATGCTGGAATGACAAAAATCACTAATGCTAGAACTTATAAATAGACATGAAACATGATATTGATTTGGAGATGGCAACAGATACCGTTGAGTTTATGAGGGATTACTGAATATCAGATCAACTTAAAGGGTGGTTACCACAACCATGGTCAGCAAAGTGGGACAAACTCAAGGACATGCAACCGTCGAAATGAGTTAGTGGATTAAAGTTAGTGATTAACACTGGTAAAAAGTTTGGACGGGAACAAAGCTACAATAAGCACAAAAGGCAAAAATAGATGGACAGCGGAGTAATTTGCAGGAAGAGAAAGTGAAGAGCAGTTTGACATCAATGGCAAGCGTATTTATCTTTTTTTCTCTGAAACGTTCATGCACTCATGCTGCATTAGTGAATGCAGTTGAAAAGGCTGAGACATTTAAGAGTGGATGATGAGTTTATCTGTTTGCTAAACACAATACTGCAGCAAGATTAAAATCACTAGGGCTGGGCAATATTGAATATCGACAATAAATTCTGTGGTGATCTAAAATGAATCAAATTTGTGAGTTCCGCAATGATTTAAAAGGTGCTTTTTATTTGGCCGTTACATTTTCTATAGATGACATCATTATGTTGTCAGGATGTACAGTTCTTTCTTGTCTCTGTATACAGTATATTCAACTTTATTAGCAATCTGTGTTAGAGTAAGATGGTAAGTTTTATTTATATCTGTGAATCAGGTCATTTCAACTTATTTAATGATGTTTGTATCATTCAACTAAGCCCATTCACAATGTGCCATGTTTCGTTCTTATTCTAAAATCTGTTGGTAAAAAATATTATATTAATGTTTCATTTGTGCTATTATGTTATAGTAGTGCAAGAACACTGGGGAAATAATACTCCATTTTACTTGCATTAATCAGGTTTTTTTGTTCAGTTGAAATGATGGTTCTTTTGAACAGAATTTATTAAGTCAGAGCAATTACACAAATACTATAATATATATGAAATGTCATCAAAATGCTGAAAAATATTGAGATCTATGTACTCTACACAATGTTTACAAAAGTGTAGGGGTTAAAAAAATTATTTAATTTAATTTCATAACAACCTATTTTAATATATTACGAAAGAAGTCATTTATTCCTGTGATGGCAAAACTCAGAATTTTCAGCAGCCATTAATCCAATTTTCAGTTGCATATTATCTTTCAGAAATCATTGTAATATGCTGATTTGGTTTATTTATTGGAACATTTATTATTATTATTATTATCAATGTTGAAAACAGTTGTGCTGCTTAATATTTTGTGGAAACTGTGATACATTTTTTTCAGAATTCTTTAATGGACAAGAAATTTCAAAAGAACTGCATTTACAGTATTTTGAAAGAATTGTTTTGTTTAATCCCATGTAACGGTCAATTTTTATCAATTAAATGCATCATTAATGAACAAAATGTATTATATATAATATTTTTTTGCAATATCGCCCAGCCCTAATAGTCACATGCTGTTAAGAATACTCACATAGGAGAGAATTGTGAACAAACATACAGGATTAGTACACTACATTCAGTAAAAATAAATTACAATCTATTTTACAAATGAAAATGACAAACAAGCGTCTCATTCATGAAGAATGATTCATCAAGAATGATTCATTACTTATATATAGAACATCACTACTTTGTTAGAGTTTACACTTGCCAGCTGTTAGTCGTCCTATGTGAGAACAGTTTTGACTTTTGAAATGTCACACAAGGAAGGTGGAACAAAATGTTTCTAATGCTGAACATCTTATTAGCACTTTCATCTAAAAATATCATAAAAACAAGTTTCAAAATAGGCTACAAGGCGTGTTCATAATGTTTTCTGATTTCTGTCAAATTAAGGTTATGTTGGCATGTTGACTCCAGGTAAACCAAATCATTTTTTTTTTTACACAAAAGGCCTATTTATAATGTATTAGTCTATAAACTGCTGCTGTTTAAAAGCATTAAAAGCATGTTTGTGTCATGCCAGACATGGTAAATATTTGAGCAGCAAACACTTACCGCTTTATCTCGAGACTTGGAGTTGAATTTGACCGTCTTTAACCTGGCTCTTTCTTTTCTCTCCACCCTGAAGAGAAAAGAGACAGAGGATGTAGGGTATTTTCACTGTTAATACACGAAAACGGTCATGTGGTCATTTTGTACTAGTGTATAAACTAAAAATATTTTTTTGAAAAACATATGAAGCCAAAAACTTTTGTTCCCACAGATGGTTGTAAATGCAGACTGCATGGCTAGATGCTTGATTTTATACATTGGTCTAATTGAAACAACCGAACTGATTAAGGTGTGTCCCAATTGTTAAAAAAAAACAACAAACATTCTAGGAAAAAAAAAAAAAAATCTGTGAGATGGTCAAAAATTTTCATTTGTATGCATGTGCACAGACTGGTTATTTGAAAAATGATAATAAAAAAAAGGAACATTGTTCACAGCAAGTTATTTGACACCAATGATTGTTGAAGGTGGTGTATTTGTTACAAAAAACATGCTTTGATAGATTTAGATGACCTCTAACCTCCAAAATCCAAATATGAAGTACCAGGAAATAATACTGTATGTAGATCACATAATTTGTTTAAATTATATAGGACAATTTACAGAAACTTTCTCAAAGAGAAATCCGAACTTGTTTCTGGCTGGGTGCCCCCTGTGATCAGTTAGGAGACGTGAGAGGCACATTTTTAGAATGAGGTGAGAAGTCAATTATCAACTTTCAATCAGCATATAGCTGAGCGGAGAGAAAGAGAGGGAAACTCACGGCATCACACATCAGCGCTGAAGTTCAACACTCTAATTAAGACTTTGAAATATCAGGTGACAGTAAACCCATGACTTTGACCAAAATAGAGCAGACTTTGTCCTAAAGCTAATTCCATGGCTAGCATCATTTGTATCCTAAATACGATTAAATTCTATTGTCACGTTCTGTTTAAATCAGTTTTGATAAAACTTTATTGGTGTCAACATTGTTGGTTGATGCCATTGTTGTGATCATTACCACACAATAAATATCGAAAGTGTTTATGATTACTTGGCAATTTGCTTAAAGCCTGGGTCTGCGACAAGGGTAAAACAAATTCTATACATGAAAAGCATTACAAGTAGCAAAAACAATAACACAAAAACAGGATTTAACAGGATCTTAGGATCACAAAAGAGAATAAAATCTTTTAGTTTTAATAAAAAAATGCTCATGATTGAACAAATGCCCACATAGTTTTCAATCTCAAGCTAGTTAAAACCCTCATCACAGAGAGATACTTTTACTTCAGCTGTCGGTTAAGTATATTTCGTCTCAAATGTGATAAGTCTGGGATGGCATTGTGCAGATATACACTTACCTAAAGGATTATACTGTGTTTGACCCCCTTTTGCCTTCAGAACTGCCTTAATTCTATGTGGCATTGATTCAACAAGGTGCTGAAAGCATTCTTTAGAAATGTTGGCCCATATTGATAGGATAGCATCTTGCAGTTGATGGAGATTTGTGGGATGCACATCCAGGGCACGAAGCTCCCGTTCCACCACATCCCAAAGATGCTCTATTGGGTTTAGATCTGGTGACTGTGGGGGCCATTTTAGTACAGTGAACTCATTGTCATGTTCAAGAAACCAATTTGAAATGGTTCGAGCTTTGTGACATGGTGCATTATCCTGCTGGAATTAGCAATCAACGGATGGGTATATGGTGGCAATAAAGGGATTGGCACTAAGGGACCTAAAGTGTGCCAAGAAAACATCCTCCACACCATTACATCACCACCACCAGCCTGCACAGTGGAAACAAGGCATGATGGATCCATGTTCTCATTGTGTTTACGCCAAATTCTGACTCTACCATCTGAATGTCTCAACAGAAATCGAGACTCATCAGACCAGGCAACATTTTTCCAGTCTTCAACTGTCCAATTTTGGGGAGCTCTTGCAAATTGTAGCCTCCTTTTCCTATTTGTAGTGGAGATGAGTGGTACCCGGTGGGTTCTTCTGCTGTTGTACCCCATCCGCCTTAAGGTTGTGCGTGTTGTGGCTTCACAAATGTTTTGCTGCTTACCTCGGTTGGTTATTTCAGTCAAAGTTGCTCTTCTATCAGCTTGAACCAGTCGGCCCATTCTCCTCTGACTTTTAGCATCAACAAGGCATTTTGCCCACAGGACTGCCACATACTGGATGTTTTTCCCTATTCACACCATTCTTTGTAAACCCTAGAAATGGTTGCGCGTGAAAATCCCAGTAACCGAGCAGATGTCTGGCACCAACCATGCCTGCTCAAAATGCCTTAAATCACCTTTCTTTCCCATTCTGATATTCAGTTTGGAGTTCAGGAAATTGTCTTGACCAAAACCAAACCCCTAATGCATTGAAGCAACTGCCATGTGATTGGTTGATTAGATAATTGCATTAATGAGAAATGAAACCAGTGTTCCTAACAATCCTTTAGGTGAGTGTACATGTGTGCTCATTCCTCATTATTAACAATTACTATACATAATGGGTTATAACGAAACCAAAATGAAAAATGGCAGTGAATTGTGAAAGAACCAATAAAGGAAATAGTATGAGCTGTGGGTAATGTGGCATTAAAAGCACAAATTGTGTTAATCATGGTAAAGAGGTAATCATGGTAACTGACCTAACTTTCTACAGTACATTATGTTCTGGAATGCATGGGGGCATAGCCTACCTCTTCTTGCTGGGAATGACGCCCATCTCCTCCATCTCGCCATCTGGAGTCACATGGCGCGCCTGCCACCACTCCTCGTCCGAGGCATTCAGGACGTGTAGGATGTCGCCGAAACGGAAGTTCAGCCCCTGACTGGGCAGGCCTGAGTCTTTCGTTATGTCATAATCAAACAGGGCTCTAAAGGAGGAAGAATGAAGATTTATTTTTTTAATGGAGCATAGGAGAAAAACTATATATATATATAAATATATATAAAGTGTCTTGTCACAAACATGACATTTCAACCAGAATGCCCAAATAATTTTTATAAATTCTGTGCCATATTCAAAACATCTTTGCAATTTCTGTTTGTCTAAATTTGATTCTCAAACACTCCCCTTCATTTTTTGAAAACTCTGCTTTTGTGGTCCATAAAAGACAGAAGAGCATACGGCATTAGAACAAGACCAGAGTGAGAAAAATATTACTTAATTTTCATTTGGGTGAACTATCCCTTTAAGAGTTATCTTTAGGCATAGTTTGCACTCGTCTCTAAATATTACACTGGACTAGGAAAATGTTTTCTTAACATAAAAAAAAAAACAGCTTTAGAGATGCAGCAGCAGCCTTTACTTTAAAGGTCAGAGAGGAGGATAAAAATGGGGCATGCCAAACTAAATTATGATTTTTGGAATTAAACTCTTTCTAACATTAAAAGTGGTCTTGCATGAGAAAACAAATGCAACAAGCTACATGGGTGTAGAATAAACAGCAAGAAAAGCCTCTAGACTCTGAACACACAAGCTTCTATGAATTTTTAAGGTCCCGCTCTTCTTTGCAATTCAATTTTTAAAACTTTAGTTAATGTGTAATGTTGCTGTTAGAGCATAAATAACATCTGTAAAATTACAGTGAACGCCCGGTTTGGACTACATCCTTCTTCTTCCTTTTTTAATGACGTAACTAGGAATACACAAAAATAGGGGGTGTAGTCTTGTTGCGCTCCCACGGAGAAGAAGCACTTCAGCTGAGCATGCATTTCCAATTTACGGTAAGAGGCGTGACGTTTCTGGGCAACGTGCGATAAGCTGCTGTCGAATCACAACACAGCGGTTCGCTAGCACAATCAGAACTCGTTACGTATTTCTGAAGGAAGGACTTCATTGAACAAGGAAGACATCGGGCTGTTTTGTGTGACAGTGAATTGTGTGAAAAATACATTGTTTTTTTACACGTGAAACATGTTATGTAACCAAGCACTTTTTAGCAACCATACTTTTAAGCAACCATAAAGACATGAAAACCATTCTATAATTCCAAGCCAGCCTTCCTTACTATTTTGCCTACAGACAGATTTCCTGAGATGTTAAGTAGGCCAGCTGTTCATAGCATGTGTGCATGTGCATTTAAGAGAACTGGAGCTGAAGTAACTAGCCATCCAAGCTCATGACTAGCTTATCCGTTTCCTCATCAATAATGAAGCACTTCCAGGAGGAAGCAAGGGCATCTGAGAAGCTTATGAGGTTTTAATCAGACACCAAAGCCCTCTTTAACCTTCAAAAACATCTAAATAACACCTATTTAACTCTTCAGCAAATGATGCAGTCTTAATCTGCTTAGAGGAATAATAGGTAACATTTGTATCCTTGTACAGTTGAAGCAGAGACCTTAAATCATTATAGTAAAATGCCCGTGGAATGCAGATTAAAGGCTCAATCCATATAGATATATGGTTTTAATGGAATATTAGATCATAAATATGGCGTGTGTACGTGACGTGTGTATGTATGTGTGACTTGCCTTAGTTGGACGCTTCCACGCAAAGCCTCTGAAATTCCTTTCAGAAAGGTCAAAATGATATATGTCCTATGACATTCAGTGTAACCATTACACATTTTTAAATGTATTTACTAGTATAAGCTAGTACATAGTAATACATAGTTTCTAAACACACTGGTGTCAAAGTGAACTTCGACTTTGTGTCACAGAAATGTTGTGGTTTGCAAACATGCTGCAGGGAAAATAGAGGCCAAAGATGACTGCAGTTCTACCGGCATCCTTGCGTGATTTTAAACATCTATCAAAGCAAGTTTAGTTGACAGCCACAACAGTGTGTGTTAGTACAAGTCTTTTAGAAACAACCACAAACTACATCCTAAAATGCAAAAGTTGAGCAAACGGCCTCACTCCAACATGCACTTTAGAGACAGGAAGTTTACGGAAGGCCTTCTGCGCCACACACGACATAGTGACACAACAAATACAATCTTCATTTCCATTAATCATTCATTATATCCATTTACTATGTTCTGTGGTATGTCCTCCTTTTCCTGTCAGTTAAAATAATGTTGCTTTTCTTAAGATGACCAATTTGTGTGTACTATTTTCCAAAAGCACACATACATATACTGTATGCAGGGACGACATGCACACATTATGGGTTGAGCTCAATGTGACACAGCTGAGAAATCACATCCGATATTAAATCAGTGAATCTTGCATCCTGTGTAGAGAATCCAGAGCCCGGGGGCTTTCGAATCCTCAAAATGTCAAAGCTATTCTCATTAAAACATAAGAATAGCAACCTGAGAGCTCAGAAATATGTTAAACAAAAATCACTTAAGAGCAAAAATTCAGCAGTAGTTTCACATTACAATACTGATCCACAGTGGTGGAGGAAGTACTGAATCTCAGTACTTAACCAGATGACCAGAGGTAACACAATGACAACCATACTTAAGTAAAAAGTACCTTATTTTCAATGTACTTTAAGTATTAAAAGTAAAAGTACTTGCATAAAAATGTATTCTCTTAATGTCTATTTTCTAATGATTAATAAAACATTTAATTCTTACTCATTCAACCTAATAGCCTACTCCTATAATGATGTTCAATAATGATGGGAAAAAAAAATGTTGTCACCATTTCCGAAACAAGCTTGCAATTAGGTAATATACACATCATGCTTATCCTTACTATATGTTTAATTAATTTATGGTGTAGGCTAATTCTGAACCTCTTGACTTGCCATAATCCTAACCAAACCAAACGTATATTACACACGGTGCGTTTCCTATGCACGTAAAAACTAATTTTCGCGTACAAATTGCACGATAAACACACTGCCTGCGAGACGCATTTAGTGTGACCGGGTTGATATACTGTATCTATGGAAACCAAACATCACTGGTAAGACAAACGTGCAACGAACGGACGGTCAGATTACGTTTTGGCAGGGGAAAAACTGATCAGAAAATGTAACAGAAGTCGTAGAAATGTAGTGGAGTAGAAAGTATAATAATTGCTGCAAAATGTAACGAAGTAAAAGTAAAAAGTAGGCACTATTTATTCTACTTAAGTAAAGATACGTGAAAAATGTACTTAAGTAAAGTAACGAAGTATTTGTACTTTCGTTACATTCCACCACTGCTGATCCATCTATCTCTTTACGTCTAACTGACCAGCCTGCTAGGCTAGGAGCGATGAGAGCCTCTGAACACACAGCTGAAGTGATTGACAATGGCTCCAAAAATATGGCAAGCTCAGTCAATACAGAGGCGTTCATGTGTCTGGCTGAAAATATGTGATTTAATCTACTGTGTAAGCACTGGCCTGAATGTTCTGAGAGCAAAAAAACAAAACAAAAAAACAGGCACACTTCAGACAATGACATGTTCACATAAGTGGCCGCCTATGACGCAATCAGTGGCAGACAGAACAATGTACATGAAAAAATAGGCTGGTCAAATATTAATGAAAGCCATAACAAGATACATTTTTATTTTAGCATGTGTTGTGAAATATGTGAATTGTGAAAATATTATAATGCATTAACCCCATTGTGTATAAACATATACACAATGGGGTCCAAATGTCTGAGACCACAAGTGAAAAAAGAATTAAAAAACCAGATCGGCATCCTATGTGAAGTTGTTTTTTTCAACTCTTTAAGGATCTAAGCATGTTTTGAAGATCAAAAGTAACTAGTGGTGATGAGAGGGAGCTCACCTGACATACAAGGTCCTCTTCTGACTAGTCCGCAAGGAGCCAGAGCCTGAACTAATACTGCTGTTCATCATCTGCTCCCGTAGATCATGGATTTTGGCTTCAAATCGACTGTACTCTGTTGGAAACACAGAGAAGTACATTACACATGGTATCCTGCTGAGAAGAGATAAGCAACAAGGAAAAACACCTGGGACACCAACAGCTTCAGGGTGGATTGATATTGATGGAGATGGGGAAGAAAAGTCAGACAGAAAGATGTGTGTTGAGAGCAATAGGAGAAAGTATAAGATCTCTGTTTGAGGTTAGTCAAGAGTGAGCGTTATAAACGCATGAAAACCAAAGAGCAGACAGATGCATCAACATATGCAAGCAATAGTGGTAGAGAGGATGGATATAATCTGATATGTTCGAGAAATCTCATTTAATAAGATAGATCTCCTGAATTTATGATCCATTCCCAGGACTCATGCGTGAGGAGGGTTTGCTCACGCTAGACTGAAACGGTGAAAATGTTCATGAATTATTCAGTGCCAGTGGTTTAACTCGCCTAGCGCTCCTGCTCTTTCCCTATGCTTGACCTCAGCGGAAGTAAGAAATACATTCAAGCTATAGGAAACGAGCAACATGTTGATATTAGAATTTGCACGGACAAAAGTGTCCTGATAAAGAGCTCATGACAGGTTTCAATTAAAAAAAAAAAAAAAAAAAAAAATCCAGTCAGTGAAATATGAGGCAACTCGAGAAAAAAAAAATATTCTGCTTTTAACCAAGTGAAAACTCCTCTTAAAAAAATACAAATAATATATATATATATATATATATATATATATATATATATATATATGAAGAGTTCAGATGCAAAAGCCTCTAAGTGCCATTTGAAATTTTCTTCTAAAATGATCATTTTTATCAAGCTTGTATATTTAAGTTGAGTAATTTCACTTAAATGGCAATGAAGATGACCTATTAATTGTCATTTAAGTGAAATTACTGAACTTAAATATACAAGCTTGATAAAAATGGTCATTTTAGAAGAAAATTTCCAATGGCATTTAGAGGCTTTTGCATCTGAACTCTTCATATATATATATATATATATATACACACACACACACACACACATACATGTAAACACCCATTCAACATTCAAATGCACAAGAAAACACTTTAATTCTCCTTCCACTGAATAACTTAACACCATCTCGCTACAAATTAGTGTTCAGATAAGTTGAAAGTAAATCTGCATACTTACAGACTCTTTTCTCAGAGTCGTGCCGGAGTCTAGAGGGGGTGAAAGAGTTTGCCGAACGGTTTTCTCTGTGTCTGTCTCTACCCCTCCATGTGAGTTCAATTGTGTTGTGGTGCTGAAGGACAGCTCCAAAATCACACACAGCTGCTCTCCCAGTGTGTTTGAGCATGAACGAGCGTGCGTATGCGTGTGTGACTTGCCTTAGTTGGACGCTTCCACGCAAAGCCTCTCTGAGCACCTACAGCACAGCGACATCACAGATGCTAATGGACTAAACAGTGCTTGCATTGCTCACTCACCCCTCCCTCCCTCTCTTTCTCTCTCTCTCTCGCTCGCTCTTTCTGTTGAAGTCACAGCCAAAACCCATGTTGGCTTGTTTAGCACAAGACAACACCTTTATTTCACCAAGCAAAGCAAAGAAAGAGAACAGAACAGAGAGTGCATTAACAACAGAAGAAATGGAAGAGCACTGGAGCTTGTGATGATATTTGTCACCAACGGAGGTTTGCTGGGTTACAGCAAATTTAGCCAGACTGCACAGTACACGTGGCTGAACATGTTGCTAATCCACAGAATTCAATTGGGAAAAGGATTTAGGCAGGTCAAAAAACACACAAAAAATACACATGGGCATTCCTGTTATGCAGTAACTTTTGCAAAATAAATACAGAAATAAAACGACGGTGTTGTATTTGAGTATTTCTAGGCATGATCTGGTGAAAAGTTAGGGTTCACCCCAAAATTAAAATTCTGTCCTCATGAACTCGCCATCACGTTGTTCCAAACCTGTATTACTTTCCTCTGTGGAGAATAAAATAAGATCTTTTGAAGAAACCAAACCATTTTGATTACCACTGACTTCCATTGTGTCAACAAAAAACACTGAGAAATTTCTAAAAATATCTTCTTTTTTGTTTTGCAGAAGCAAGAATGTCATACAGTTTTGGAATGACATGAGGGTGAGTAAAAGACTTTTTTTATTTAAAACTTATTTACACAACAGCAAGAAAATTAGCAAGGAGGATATAAAAAGCTATATAGTCAATGTTCACTGAGAATCACTGTTTACATTTGGTGTCAAATTGAAGTTCTTTGTTTACTCTCTTTTAGGTGGAATGACAAGAAGAAAAAAACAGCTAATATCACAACATCACAATTCATTAAACACATTACTGATATTACTATTTGTTTATCATCAAAATTGATATCCCTTCCTGAAGGATGATGTCATTGAGGAACTGTTTTTTTTTTTTTTATAAGAATGCTACAAAATACTTAGAGGATGTAAAGAGATATTGAGGACAGAGGAAAACATATTCACAAAAAAATATGTTTTCAGTGAAATATTTTGATTAGAGAGAGAAGAATTAACACAGAATATTTCATAATAAATTGTATTTCATTACTTGGGTACATGAAAAAAAAAAGAAGTTTTTAATCCTTTTTAAAAATGAATCCTTACGTTCATGTAATTATGATAAAAATAATAATAAAAAATAATCTTATTATCTAAACTCATAAAAATGTTGAGTTTCTCACAAACATGAATAATGTAAAAGTAAAATACAATAAATATCCTCTGGCTGATATGCATGTGCATGCTACTGTGTTGTTGGAGATGTTGTTGCCTTTTTAGAACTGTATCTGATGAGACAATAAGGACATTTCATAAATACTATACAACATTAAATTATCTTCAATAAATCATATCTCTGTCATGTATTCTCTCTGCAAGTACATCTTCCCTTGGTATACAAACATAGAACAATTAGATTTAATGGATGTGTGCAAGTCTCGGTTGAAGAACAAAAGCTTATAATTAGAGAAGTATTACAAAGTCCTTCATAATGAAGACTGGAGAACTTTTCATGACTGCTCACAGAGTCCACGCAGATGAAATGACAGGAACAATGCTATTTCTCCCGGGATTACACTGGTTTTGAATGATTAGTTTAATGGGAGTAATGATGCATGTGCTGCCATAGAACACTGAAAGGCCTTCGTGTTATCAAGAATTCAGAACGTTATCGTCACCAATTCCGTGTCAAACAAAACAACTAAGGGGCTTTCAGAAAGCTTGAAAAGGAGGGAAGCAGAGAGAGGAAATAATATGTTTTGAGTCACGTTTCAAAAGGATGAAAGTTGGATGAATAATCATTAGATTTTATATTTAGAAATGGCATTACAGCACAATAGTCAAAGCTAAATTAACGCACAATTTGAGGTATAATTCATGTCCATTGGACAAATGGTACAGGACAAGTTAGCTACAAAGTTTAATACTTCCAGAGAATGAGCAATTGTAATAGTGATGCCAATGTGCCAGTATTTTTTTTTTTCATGTTAAGCCTAAAAATCAATAAATGGACAATATTGTGGTGTACAATAAACAAGTGAAACTTAATCCATTAAAATTCATTTTTCGGTTTAACGTTTAAACGGATATTCATTTGAAGAATTCCCAAAGATTACATTTAACAGTTATTCAATTATTAGTATTTATAAGATTAACTTTTAAGTGAGTGTTAGATAATGGCAAAGATAATGTGAATGTAAAAAAAAGGGGAAAATGAACACATAGAAATAAATATCGAACATCCGCCAGTAACCAATAAGGTACAGATACAGTATTTTGCCTCCTTAATGAGTTTAGAAACTTCTGCAAACTGCTTTGGCCACAAATCACTTCAATATAACTTTGTAGACCAAACAAGAAAAAGAAAAACAGTCACCAAAGTCACAAAATTTCCACGTCATCAAATCAAAGTTAGACAGCTGTGATCTCATGAATATATGAATTTTAAAAAGATGCGAGAGAGGATTTCTTCGTTAATCTGACTGAGTGTATCGTTGTAGTCTGTGTGTGGCGCTAATGTATGTGGCTAAAGCACTCTCAGTTTATACATAACATTGACTAATACTTTAGTCATCTCCTTAAGGCATTAAAAGTAGCTTAACTCATTTTTGACATGATTACAGTAAAACCTCAGCGCTGCTACTATACATGCCATCTAAGTATTACAGTGTTGCCAGATCTTGCAAGAAAAGCAAGCAACCTGGTCTGACAAAACAAGCTCAAAATATGCTTAAATAAGCAACTGCAGGATTTTCCATTGTTTGGGAAAAACATATTTACAGTATTGCAGCATAAACTTGTGTAAAACATTGATTAAGCAATTCAATAAATGCATTTCAATAATTTCACAAAAACATTTTTGTTGCATATAATCAGCTGTCTACTGTATATATAACCTATCTATACATCTATATACATAAAAAACTACACAATAATACGAATTTTATTATTATTAAACATTTAATTAAATTAAATGTTTAATTAATTAGTCATTATGTTCTGACAGTAGAATATGAGACAGATAATCTGTGAAAAGAGTCTCCACCCAGTGGTCCTATTGCCATTTGCAGAAATACACCACTCCCGGTCAGAAACAACCAATCAGAGCCAGGAGGAGTGTCTTAGCAGTGTCAATCACAATTGCACAGCGCACAGTGTAGCACCGTTCAAACTCAAGAACCTGCTTATAAAACAAAGACGAGTAAAAGGAAAAAGACCGATGACGACAAACAAGCGAAAAAGAAAGAATTAGACAGAGCTCATTGACTCAGTATCAAAACTCTAGCCGCGGAACATGTATATAACATTTTGCACTGTGCAAAGCAGCAATTGAAACCTGCTAATTAGCTTGTTATGTTGCTGAAATAATGTACCAGCAAACCTTGTAGCATTAGGCCTACATATCGCTAGAATAATTACATACTGTTACGCAGTGTTGGGTGTAACTAATTACTAAGTAATTAGTTACTGTAATTTAATTATTTTTCCCTTGAAAATGTAAAGTAAGGGA